CATCCTAGCATCCTAAATTCCCTTGGTTCCAACAGGCCTGGTTAGCATACTACTTACCTTTGGGGTTGGAAGCAGCCCTCCCTTAGCTAAATTCTACTTTGTTTGACTTAATGTCTCCTTGGCAAATCTGTTAGTAGATCCCTTTTGTTGTTGCTGCTTTTTTTTTTTTTTTTTTTGAGACAGGGTTTCTCTGTTTTACAGTCACTCTGTAGACCAAGCTGGCCTCAAACTTACAGAGAGATCTGTCTGCCTCTGCTGGGATCAAAGGCATGCAACACTACCTGTCCAGCTAAAAAATAATTTTTTTTGTTTTTCAAGATAGGGTTTCTCTGAGGCTTTGGAGACTGTGTGTAAGGAGCTCTTTTAGATCAGGCTGGCCTCAAACTCACAGAGATCTGCCTGCCTCTACCTCCTGAGTGCTGGGATTAAAGGCATGCGCCACCACCACCCAACAAAATCAATCTTTTTTTTTTTGGTTTTTCGAGACAGGGTTTCTCTGTGGCTTTGGAGGCTGTCCTGGAATTCGCTTGGTAGTCCAGGCTGGTCTCGAACTCAAAATCAATCTTTTATGAGCCCATAAAATGGTTAAATTGGGGGACAAGAGAGGCAACTTGGAGGTTAAGAGCACTGGCTATTCTTCTAGAGTACCCACAAGATAGTTCACAACTGTAACTCAAGTTCCAGGAGATCCAATGTCCTCTTCTGGCCTCTGTGGACATTACATGAACATGAAGCACATACAGACAGACAGACAGACATGCACCCAGACAGAATACACACATAAAATACATTTATACTCACACTCATAAAGTAAATACATCTAAAAGGAAAAAACAAAAAAGATGCCCCCTGAGTAAATAAAGGAGCTTACTGCTTGATGACACAAGCTTGACGACCTGAGTTTGATCCCAAGAATCCATGTAAAGGTCAAACGAGAAAACCAATGCCAAAAAGCTCTCTGGCCTTCATGTGAATGCCAATGCACAGACACCCACCTCTCTCACACACACACACACACACATAAACACACATACACATACACAAACACCAGCACACACACATACACACATAAACACACACCAACACACATATACACACACCAGCACATACACACAACAACACACATATACACACCAACACACACACATACACAAACACCAGCACACACACATACACACATATACACACACCAGCACATACACACACCAATACACATATACACACCAACACACACACATACACAAACACCAGCACACACACATACACACACACCAACACACACATACACCACACACCAACACACACATACACACACCAACACACACATACACACACACCAACACACACATACACACACACCAACACACATATACACACACACCAACACACACATACACACACACCAACACACATACCTACACACGCCAACACATACACCACACACACATACACACATACACACCAACACACATATACACACACACCAACATACACATACACACATACCAAAACACATACCTATACACACCAACATACACACACCAACACACACATACATACACACACATACACACACATACACACACCAACACTCACACATACACACACATACACACATCAATACACACATATACACACACACCAACACACACACACACATACTTTAACAACTTTTTGTGGGGCTGGAGAGATGATTCGGTGGTTAACAGTTCTGACTGCTCTTCCAGAGGACCCAGGTTCGATTCCCAGCACCCATATGGCAGCTCACAACTGTGTTGTAACTCCAAGATCTGACACCCTCACACAGACAAACATGCAGGCAAAACACCAATGCACATAAAATAAATATAAATAATTAAGAAAACCACTTTTCTGAGACAAGGTTTCTGTGTGGCCCTGGATGTCCTGGAACTCACTGTATTTGACAAGACTGACCTTGAATCCACAGAGCTCCACCTGCCTCCATCACCTGTGTACTGGGATTAAAGGCGTGCGCCACCATGCCTGGCAAACATTTTAAAATTATGTGTTTAGGGGTGTACACATATACTCCAGGTGACCATCGATGCCAAAAGAGAGGAGTCAGGTCCCCGGGGCTAGAGTTACAGGCAGTTAGTTGCAAGTCTGTATGGATGCTAGGGACTGAACTCTGCTCCTCTCTTCACCACTGAGCCATCTCTCCAGCCCCCTATCTTTTTAAATTTATTCCGTATAGCAAGCTTCCAGATGATCGTCCTGTTGGCACCACGCATTGTTTTGGAGTCGTCTAATTCAGTGGTTCCCTGTTGTCAAGGGCACATTCTTTCCACTCACTCTCTGACCATCCCAACTGCACCGCTTTACTCCCGGCTGGTGTCTGTGGGGTCCACGTGTATCTTCTCTTCCTGATGATTCTTCTTGAATTCCTCCCCCTTGACTCCTAGCGCCAGTGCCTGCTCAGCTCTCCTTACCCAAGAGTCTTGCCTCCTCAGAGTGTTGAGGGCTGAGGCTCGGCACCTTCTCCAGACCTCTGCCCTACCCCTCCGGATCAGCTGATACGATTCCAGTTGGTATTGCTCCTGGCTCCGTTTTAAGAATTGCTCCACACTCTGAGTTAAAACCTCGAGCAGTTTGGGAGTGGGGTTTGCTGCTGTTGCCTCATTGCCTGGCCCCACACTCCCTCCTTCCTTCCTGGGAAGTTCCGCTCACTCCCATGATCTTTCTGGGACTCCTGCAGGGCCTGCTGCTTTCCCTGTTCCCAGAAGCCTCCCGGAGCCCAGACTCACTGGTTCACACAAGTGTCTCTGTCTTCTGGGAAAAGTCACCCATGTGGGGACCCCGTCACGTCTCTAGAGTTGACTTTCCTTTCTTCTTTTTTTAATTGTTTTCTTGTGAGCCCATGAGCGTTTCCCTGCATACATGTCTGCAGGAGATGCATGCCCGGCACCCACAGACGCTACAGGAGGACACTGGATTCCCAAGCCTGGAGTTAGGTATAGGCGGTTACAAGCCACTGTGTGGGTGCTGGGAATTGAACCTGGGTATTCTGGAAGAGCAATCAGTGCCCTTCACCAGGGAGCCATCTCTCCAGCCTCCGGGCGACTTACCTCCTCCTTTTTTTTTTCAAGATAGGTTTCTCTGTGCACCCCTGGGTGACATGAAACTTGCTCTGTAGTCCAGGCCATTTTTTCTTTACCTTAAAAGGTTCCCATCTCGAGGCAGAGGCAGGCAGATCTCTGTGAGTTCGAGGCCAGCCTGATCTACAAAGTGAGTTCCGGGACAGCCTCCAAACTCCAAAGCTACACAGAGACACCCTGTCTTGATATACCAGAAGAAAAAAAAAAGGTTTCCATCTCCAGGTCTTGTCACTACTTAGAAGAGGTTGTGTCCTAAATGGAATGCTCTCTCTCGTCTGCTGGCACCTGTCACTCGGCATATGCTGTTGTTGACATTTATTATTGGATGTACTTCTTGGTCAAAACTAAGAGCTGAGCTGGGCGTTGGTGGCGCACGCCTTTAATCCCAGCACTCGGGAGGCAGAGGCAGGCGGATCTCTGTGAGTTCGAGGCCAGCCCGGTCTACAAAGTGAGTTCCAGGACAGTCTCCAAAGCTACAGAGAAACCCTGTCTCGAAAAACCACAAAAAAAAAAAAAAACCAAAAAACTAAGAGCTGAGTAGAGCTACATTTGGTGTGAGCTGCCTTCTGCATTCCTGTGAACACACGTCTAATAATGGTGACTCTGAAGGTGGAGACAGGAGGATTCTGAGTTTAAGGCCAGCCTGGTTGTGTGGGAACTTACCTAAAAAGCAACTGATGATGATAAAAAAAATTGTTGGGGTTGCATTTACATAAGACCCCCATCAAAGTAAATAAAAATCAATTGGAAGACCACAGACCTAACTCCAAAGAGGAGAGGGCTGAATTTCAGAGGTGACTACATGAGACATGACAAATGCAAAACGTCACTTTGCTCTTTTTTCTTTTTGGATCTAGGTTTTGTTATTCATTATGTGTGTGGGTGCGCACATATGTGTGCGAGTGTGGTGTGTACATGTAATGTGTGTGCGAGTGTGGTGTGTACATGTATGGGCTACAGAGCATGTGTGGAGATCAGAGGACAATTTTTTGGAGTTGGTGCTCTCCGTCCATCTTCATGTGAGTCCCGGGGTCTGGACTCAGGTCCTCGGGTTTTCAGAGCAGGTGTGCAAGCTGCTGAGCAGCTTCTTTGGCCCTTGCTTTTTTTGTGTTTTGTTTTTTTTCTTCTGGAACAGGGTCTCCTGCACAGAGGTAGGTGTGAGCATACAGGCTGGAGGAGATTGAGGGCCCTACTGAATGTTCTTACTCTGGCTTTCTTTCCTTGAGACGGGATCTCTCACTGAACCTGTAGCTAGGCTAGAGGCTGGCAAGGCTCAGCAGTCTCTCCTCCGCTGTCCTCATGATGAGTTACAGAACACGTGCAGCCACCCCTAGCTTTTCACATTGCTTCTGTGTTCTGGGGATTTTAACTCGTGTCCAAGCTTGAGTAGCAAGCGCTCTCACTCACTGTGCTGTCCTCCCAGTTCCCTGTTGGGGATTTTTGAGGCTGGCTTAACGTTTTTTACATATCTGAGAATTCTCAAAATGAACAGTCACCGAATGGCTGTGACTCAGGACCAAGTGCGTGAACATAGTCATTCTCAGATGAGTAGAGTGTATTGTTTTATATTTAGAAACCCTGGAGCTAATGAGATCACTGTCTATTTGAAAGCTCCATAAACAATTGAATGGCGGACTAATGTAGCTTCCTAACTGGGAGCATAGAATCAGGCTGCTCTCTGACACCTCAGACACTTGCCCAGAGCACTGCCTGTACCACAAGAGTGCCTGGTGTCCTTGGAGGCCAGAAAAGGGTGTCAGATCTGGAACTGGAGTTACAGTTTGTTGTTAGCCACTATATGGTGTCAGAACTTGAACCCAGGTCCTCTGGAAGTGCTTTTAACTGCTAAGCCATATCTCCAGGCCCTCTGTCACTCTTTTGGGGTGGGCTTGGGCCTAAAGGCAAATGCTGCTTGGGTAAGTCACAGAACCACTTCTATGAGGCCACAGAAGCCCTGCTTCTTTGCATGACTGAGCCAGTCACAAGGATGGGACTAGCGCTGGGTATGCGGTCCATGCCTGCAACCCAACATTTAGGAAGCAGAGGCAGCAGATCTCTGAATCCAAGGTCATTCTGGTCAACATAGTGAGTCCCAGGCCAGCCAGGGACAAATCGAGACCCTGCCTAACAAGCAAAGGCGGTGGTGAGGAGATTGGTTACAGGGGTATGCTTAGCTTTAATTTGGATTGATTAGGGTTTAGTAGTAAATATGATTCACAACTTGTCTTTTTGTTTTGTTTTTTTGAGACAGGGTGTCTCTGTGAAACAGCTCTGGCTGTCCTGGAACTCGCTCTGTGGAGCAGGCTGGCCTCGAACTCACAGACATCCGTCTGCCTCTGCCTCCTGGAGTGCTGGGATCAGAGGTATGTACCACCACTGCCTGCTCTACAACATGTCTTCATCTCCAGTTTGCAGCTGTTTACTCTGCAGATGACTACATCAAGGCCTGTTTGTTCTGGAATTCATTGTGAGGGTGACCCTCCTACCCTTGTCAGGGAGCCCTATTTTAAAGGTGTCTGTTTGGCTTTCCAGCTAACGGTTAAAGCAGACTGGAAGGGAAGACCGTCAATATTTTCACTTGGCAAGGAAGGCCACAGCCTCTTCTCTCTTTGCACACGGGCTGCTGATCCTCCTTGTGGGATGGCCTCATGTAGGCAAAAGTGACTCTTCCCTTTCTAGACTTCTTTTCAACCAGGTGGGCGTTGGTGACACACGCCCTTAGTCTCAGCACTCGGGAGGCAGAGTAGGCAGATCTCTGTGTGTTTGAGTCCTGTCTGGTCTACAGAGTGAGTTCCAGGAGCCAGCAAAACACAGAGACCCTGTCTGGAAAACTTAAAGGAACTTCTTCCCAACCTCTATAAAAACAACTTTTGGGCTTGGGTGACTGCTCAGTGGTTAAAAGCATGGTAACTCTTCAGGAGGACCTGACTTCAGATCCCAGCACCCATGCTGGGTAGCCACAAGCATCTGTTCCTCTGGCCTCTGTGGGTACCCACGCACCCAAGTGGCACATACGTGACATACACAGACTCATAAGTAAAACTTTTTTTATGGTTTTTTTTTTTTGGTTTTTCGAGGCAGGGTTTCTCTGTAGCTTTGGAGGCTGTCCTGGAACTCGCTTGGTAGTCCAGGCTGGTCTCGAACTCACAGAGATCCGCCTGCCTCTGCCTCCCGAGTGCTAGGATTAAAGGCGTGTGCCACCAACGCCCGGCGACTATCACAACTATGATGTCTGAGAAGCAGGTCTAGAATTAATCTAAACTACAGCATACCCAATATTTTCTTTTCTTTTTTTTTTTTTTTTTTTTGGTTTTTCGAGACAGGGTTTCTCTGTATTGTTTTGGGGGATGTCCTGGAACTTGCTCTGTAGACCAGACCAGCCTCGAACTCACAGAGATCCGCCTGCTTCTGCCTCCCTCCCGAGTGCTGGGATTAAAGGTGTGTACCACTAACGCCCAGCATACTCAATAGTTTCTAATAATCATGTAGAATTCACCAAAATAAAACCTTCTTGGTACAGCTCATCTGATACAAAAGTGACCTATAACATTACAACTGAAGATGGGTGCAAAACATAAAATCAACAATAGGATCTGGAGGCAGGAGGATTAATATTTAAACAGTCTGGGTTCCACAGATAGACACTCTTTTAAAAAGATTCTTTTTGTAAGAAATAAGTAGGGGACTGGAGAAATGATTCACTGGTCCCCAGAACTAACATGGTGGTCCACAACCCTCTGTAATTTCAGTTCTAGGGGATGTGACACCCTTTTCTGACCTCTTCAGATACCAGGCACGTATGTGGTACATATACACACACACACACACACACACTCACACACACACATACATACATACATACACACACACACATCATGAAGGCAAAACATTCATATAATAAATTCTCAAAAATAAACATTTACTCAAAAAAACAAAAAAAACATTTAAATAAGAGAAGGGATAAGTGACCTTTCCCTCTATTCAAGTGTGCTTCTGAATGGCCCTGAGTTGTTTGTAGCCAAGTTAGCAGAACTGATGCCTTCCACTTTGTGTAATAGCCACAGACAGATTTCCTTCTCAGCAAGATTTTTAGGGAAATTGAGGATGTTGCACATAGCATGCACTCACCAAATCATTTAAGCCGCATCCTTCCTTCCTTCCTTCCTTCCTTCCTTCCTTCCTTCCTTCCTTCCTTCCTTCCTCCCTCCCCCCTCTCTCCATTCCTCCCCTCCCTCCCTTCCTTCCTTCCTTTTGTTTTTCAAGATAGGGTTTCTCGGTGTAGCCCTGATTGTCCTGGAACTTGTCGGCCTCTGCCTCCTGCGTGCTGGGATTAAAGGCGTGCAATACCATGCTTGGCTCCTCCTCCTCCTCTTCTGCAGACACCTCCTAAATGCTGGACTTCAGGCATACCTGGCTCCTTAGGCTGTGAAACAGCATCTGGCCAGCTGTGCCCTGTGGACATGCTTGTAGTCCCAGTTCAATGGAAGCTGAGGGGGATTGCTTGAGCCAAGAGTTCAAGACCAATTTGAGCAACACAACAAAATTCTATTTCCAAACAAAAGAGAGCCAGACATGGACGCTCCCACCTATAACCCTAGCACATGATTGGCTGAGGCTGAAGGATTGACTTGAGTTCAAGGTCAGCCTGGGCTACAAAGCAAGCCTAGGACTCAACCAGTAGTAAGTAAATAAATAAATAAAGCCGATAGCATCCGCGAAAGTATCTGATAAAGATTGAACCTTGGCTGTATAAATATTGTATATTGCCACTGAGAAAAATGTCCCATTGTCTCTGAGACTTTGAGATCTTGTTTCAAAAGCAAAACAAAAAGCTCAGGGTGCAGCGGGGTAGTGGTGGCACACACCTTTAATCCCAGTACTTGGGAGGCAGAGGCAGGTAGATCTCTGTGAGTTCAAAGCCAACCTGGTCTATAAGACCAGGCTCCAAAGCTACACAGATAAACACTGTCTCAAACCGCCCTCCCCCCCAAATCTGAAGCATGGAAAATGTTAAGAGGGAGATAAAAAGAATACTAGGGGATATTCAGAGGAGTAAGCTGCAAGAAACAGTAATTGGAGCCTTGTCTCCAGCCTCTAGGTCCCACGGAGTAGTTACTTTTCTTCCTAATGGAAGGAAGCATAAGCATCGGGAACATTTTAACAACCTGACATCATCCAAACCCGTGGATCTGTGTGGCTAAGAGTTGTTTCCCAACTCTCAGGGTGGGTGGCAACATGGCTAAAGTGCCCTGTTGTCGGCCTGGTTGTTTATTCTCAGTCAGGGTGCTAGATAGCCCAAGTTAGTCTTGAACTAGCTGGTGAGGGTGACCTTGAACTTGTGACATTGCTGGTATACAGGTATGCCTCACCACACACGGTTCATATAGTACTAGAGACTGAATCCTGAATGCTAGGCAAACACTCTACCAACCGAGCTACATTCTTAGCCCTTATTTTAATTATTTTGGGTCTCATGTAGCTGAGGCTAGCCTCCATCTTGCTATGTAGCAGAGGATGACCCTGAGCTCTGACTTCCCTTGTCTCCACTCCTCAAATGCTGGAATCACAGGCAAGTGCCACCAAGCCCTTCCTGCTGTCAGTTTATGACACAAGGGAGAACAAAGACACTGCTTCATGGACCGTTGGAAGGCACTATACTCTGGTTATGGCATTATGAATTGGTCCCGACGCCTGTCACTACCACTGAGCTACATACCTGGCCCTCTCTTCTTGGTTAGCCTTTAAGCCATTCGAAGCTGGCATCTACTCCCTTTACCCTGCTGAAATGCCACAGGAAAGCCTACTGATCTTAGGGCCAAATTTAGATTCTGTTCTGTCCTCATGGGTGACAAGTCTGCAGTGTCTGTTCTCTTTGGTTGGTGGAAGCACAGCATATGTTTTTACGTCTGTGACAATTCTGTCTTGAGATTTCTCTTCCGCCACTCACGGCCATCTATCCCTTGCTGTCCTCACATGTTTTTTTTTTGGCTAGGCATTCAGCTGATGTCCCTTGACTTCCCCTGCATGCCGTTATTTCCCAAATGCTCTTCTCAGGGTTACAAAGGTGCTTAGAGCATTTACAAAGGAAATCAGTGTTCCATTATAAGAACAAGTAGGTGGAGAATTATCCTTTTTGCACAATCATTTTCAAGCTTGTCAGGGTGGTTCACATCTGTAATCCCACACTTTGAGACACTGAGGGTTACTTGAGTTCCAGGCTAGGCTAGCCTGTGCTGTGAGACACTATCTCAAAAAAAGTTATGGTAAACATTATGTATTCATCCCCCAAATATGTGTACTCCTTATAAAAACCAGACTGGCCTGGACCTTGTGGCAGCTCTCCTGCCTCATCTTTTGAGACGAGATGTAAAGATTATGTCACCATGACGATCCAGAAACAAAATATTTTTATTTTATATGTACAAGTATTTTGCCCACATTATATGCCTGTGTCCCACACACACTTAGTGCACTGGGGTCCTTGGAGCTGTTCTTCCAGATGGTTCTATGTGCATTCTAGAAACCGAGTCCAAGTCCTTTGTAAGAGCATCTAGTGCTCTTAACTCCTGAGCTGTCTCTCCAGATCCCAGAAACCGTTTTTTATACCAAATAAAAGTTTATAAATGTTGCTATAAGGAACAAATAAAAGTGTGAATACTGCCGGGCAGTGGTGGCACACGCCTTTAATCCCAGCACTTGGGAGGCAGAGGCAGGTGGATCTCTGTGAGTTCGAGACCAAGCCTGGTCTACCGAGCGAATTCCAGGACAGCCTCCAAAACAATACAGAGAAACCCTGTCTCGAAAAACAAAACAAAACAAAACAAAACAAAACAAAAAAGGCATGAATACAGCATCCGTTCTCTATGCATTCAGCTGTTTGTAACCTGGGATTTCTTAGGTAACCATAAACTACGAGGGTTTCTTTTCAGGGTTTCTCTGCATAGTCCTGACTGTCCTGGAACTCACTCTGTAGACCAGGCTGATCTTGAATCAGAGATCTGTTTCCTCTGCCTCCAGAGTGCTGGGATCAAAGGTGTGCATTAGCCTGGCATGCTACAAGGGTTTCTTAACCTGAAACAGGCGACTCTCAGAGCAAGGTCGCTGCTTTGGCCCTATACCTTTGCAAAGTGACTTAATAAGTGCTCGTTCTTATCACTGAAAAGTTTTTATTACCTTCATTTATTTGTGTGTGTGTGGAGGGGGGTGTTGGTTGTCAGTTCTTTCCTGATGTAGATTACTCTTTTTGTTTCTTTCTTTTTTATTTATTTATTTTTTTGGTTTTTATGAGACAGGGTTTCTCTGTATTGTTTTGGAGGCTATCGGTCCAACCTGGTCTCGAACATACAGAGATCCGTCTGCCTCTGCCTCCCGAGTGCTGGGATTAAAGGTGTGCACTACCGACGCCCGGCACCCTGCTTGATCTTGAAATGGCTATGTGGCATCAGGTTTATCTTGAACTCATGTAGATAGTCCCTTGTTGGGATTAAAGGTGTGAACCACCAGATTTTTTTCAAACATTTTTTATGAATTTTATTTAAATTAGAAACAATTTTATTTTTCATATCAATCCCATTTCCCTCCCCTCATCCTCCCATGACCCCTATTGACCTCCTCAACCCATCCCCCATCCACTCCCCAGAGAGGGTGAGGCCTTCCATGACAGATCATCAAAGTCTGTCAAGTCATTTGGGGCAGGGCCTGTACACTAAGTTGAGAGAGTAGCCCTCCATGGGCTCCCAAAGTCCATTCGTGCAATAGGGATAAATATTGGTTCCACTACCAGAGGCCCCATAGACTGTCTTTAGACCTCCACTGCCTAGACCTCCTAACTGACACCAGCATTCAGAGGTCTGGTTTGGTCCTATGCTGGTTTCCCAGCTGTCAGCCTGGGGTCTGTGAATTCTCCCTTGTTTAGGTCAGCTGTTTCTGTGGGTTTCCCCAGCCTGGTCTTGACCCCTTTACTCATCACTCCTCCCTCTCTACAACTGGAGGTTTTAAAAACATTTTTAAAAATATAATTTATTGCCGGGTGGTGGTGGCGCACGCCTTTAATCCCAGCACTCGGGAGGCAGAGGCAGGCAGATCTCTGTGAGTTCGAGGCCGGGCTGGACCGATAGCCTCCAAAACAATACAGAGAAACCCTATCTCATAAAAACCAAAAAAAAAATTTATTTATTTTTATTTTATGTGCTTTGTTGTTTTGCCTTTATGTATGCCTGTGTGAGGGTGTCAGATCTTGGAGTTATAGACAGTTGCTAACTGCCATGTGAGTGCTGGGAATCCACCCAAGACCCCTGGAAGAGCAGCCAGTGTTCTTAACCAACCAACTCTCCAGCCCCAGTTTTTTTTTTTTTAAGTAAGATTTATTTTGGGCTAGGAGGTGCTGGCACACACCTTTAAATCCAGCACTCGGGAGGCAAAGGCAGGCGGATCTCTGTGAGTTTGAAACTAGCCTGGTCTACAAGAGCTAGTTCAGGACAGCCTCCAAAGCCAAGAAACCCTGTCTTGAAAAACCAAAAAAAAAAAAAAAAAAGATTTATTTTAGGGGCTATACAGGCAAAACACTCATACACATAAGATAAAAATAAAGCTTAGCCGGGCAGTGGTGGCGCACGCCTTTAATCCCAGCACTCGGGAGGCAGGGGCAGGCGGGTCTCTGTGTGTAGCATCAGAGCTCCTGGGGGCAGTGGTGGAGACAGGCCATGCTAGGTGCTTGCTGACTAGCTGAAGTGGTGAGAGACCTTGCCACAGCAAATAAGGCGAGAAGGAGCTAGAGAGATGGCCCAGTGGTGAAAAGCCCTCTTCCAGAGGACTTGGGTTGGATTCCCAACACCCACATGGTGGCTCACAAGTGTCTGTAACTCCAGTTCCAGAGGATCCCTCTTCAGGCCTCTGCAGTAATAAACACACGGCATACATGCAATCAAAACACGCAGAATCATACATTTTAAAATAAACAACAAACATAAAACAAGGCACACACGTTTAATCCCACGCTGTGGAGGTAAAGGCAGCCAGATCTCTTGGTTTGAGGCCAGCCTGGTCTACATAGGAAGTTGCAGGCCCGCCAGGGCTACAATAGTGCTTAAACAACAACAACGGTAAATAAGGTGGAGAGTGACAGAGGAAGACCCTGGACATTAACCTCTCGCCTCCACATGCCCACCCACAGGCAAGCGCACCCGCATACACGTGCAAACACATCCACACACTAAGTAAATTGTGGGAAACACATGAAGTCCCGAGTGACTGTGTATTTATTGTTGGCAGGAGCACAGCCATGTCAAAGACCCCAGCGTCTCACCTCAGACCTACAGAAACGGCAAACCTGCTGCCAGGTCAGGCTCAGGGCAATGGCAAAGCCCTGGTCTGAGAAAGAATGTTGAGCATAGAGGAAGTACCAGCCACAGCCTCCTCCCTGATGACTTCAGCCCGAGACTGCTCCCCTATGGAAAGTACCTACTAAAACTGGCTATCCCGTCTTCCCGTTCAACTGTAGACAACAAGCCCACCTCCTCGTTCATCTGTACGTCATAAACCCACCTCAATTCAGATATGTAAGATGAATGTGCCGAGTTTCCAGTCTATGCAGTCAGTGTGACTCCATCAAAGTGTATGGCCAGCCCATCCCAGCTTTTCTGTCTGCGTGTTTGTCATTTCTTCATTCCCTCGTCACCCCAGTTAAGACGAACCCTAAGAGATAACAGAGTACAGCGATAAATAAAAGAATTAAAATTTCCCATCCTTTCATTCAATTAAAGAAATGTCGTCATCTCTCCTGCCTACCCCCTCCCAAAGTCATCCGCCCTGGATGCACTTTTGATGCCTGGATCCAGGCCTCAGGTATTTTCTCCCTTCTTTCTTTTTCCTTACCTTTGGAGCCTGTCCTGGAACCCAATCTGTAGACCAGGCTGGCCTCGAACTCACAGAGATCCGCCTGCCTCTGCCCCCCCCCCCCCCCGAGTGCTGGGACATGGCTTTTTTCCCCCTTTGGTTCTTTCTTTCTTTCTTTCTTTTTACTGAAAATAGATTTTTTTCATACAATATACTCTGATTATAGTTTCCCTTCCCTCAACTCCTCCCAGATCCTCCCCCCTTCCCCACTCACCCAAAGACAAGGTTTCTCTCTCTGTATTGTTTAGGAGGATGTTCTGAAACTCCCTCTGTAGACCAGGCTGGCCTCGAACTCACAGAGATCTGCCTGCCTCTGCCTCCCGAGTGTTGGGATTAAAGTTGTGCGCCACCAACGCCCGGCTCCAAATCCACATTCTTTCTTGCTCTATTTCATTAGGAAACAACAGGCACCTAAAAAAGAAAAAATAATAAAATAAGATAAAAATAAATAACAGGACAAGACAAACAAACCGAAAAACTGCCAATGGGAAAAAATGCAAAAAAACCATATAGACGCAGAGATACACACTGTCAAAAACACAGAAATCCCATTAAAATACAAAATTGGAAGCCATAATGTGTTAGCCAAAGACCTGAATGGTAAGAAAAAAGAAAATGCTCAGCAAAGCATTATAAAACAAAACAACAACGAAAACCCTCCAAAAATACCACTGAGTTCATTTTGCGTTGAGCAGCTACTGTGCACTAGCTGGGCATGGGAGCTGGCCTTAGAGTAGACTCCACTGGAGAAAACTAGCTTTTCATTTGCAAGTGGCTATTGATTGGAGATAGCCTCTGGGTTAGGGGTGTGGGCTTGGGTCCACTTCCATCCTCAGTCCAGGGACCACGTCAGACCAGACTTGTGTAGGCCGTCTGCGAGCTTCCGTATGTGCAAATGGTCTTGCTGTATTTAGAAGGCCTTGTTTCCTTGCGTCCTATCTCCTCTGTTTTCTTCCTTCCACACATTCCCATCACAGCATCAGTCGGATGTGCGTTTCAGGAAGAGCCACCACTCTCTTTAGAAGGAAGAGTTGCTCTTCTGCTACTCCAGGGTTCACATCTGACCTTGTGACACGGTAGCCTCACAGACCTGGCTCACAGCACCCGTACCCAGGGCCTCCTGCTAACTCCATGGGCTGTGCTGCTCGGCAAGGGGCTGTGGTCAGCCTTTTCTTCTCCAAAACAGCGTCATCGTTTGCAGCCCGGCTGGAACACTATTTCTCTAAGGCCTACTCCAAGCTCATCCTAATTCCAAAGTTAGTCACTCCCTCTTCTAACTCTTGTTGCAGTCTATGAAGAAAAGGCAGACATTTAAGGAAAAAGGCAGGTATGTTTGCAGAGTGTACTGCTCTGGGTAACTGGGGAGCAGAGATGCCACGCTTCCAGTGATTCACAGCTGAGAGCGATCGAGTTTCTCCACGGTAGACATAAATCTTACATTGCTGTAATCCCGGGGATTACCAAATCTTCTTTAAACAGCTCTCTTATGCTTAATGAAAACTAAGAAGTTACTATTAGGCCTGCAGTATTTGAGACAAAATAATAAAAAATATTTTTCTATCACTTTTAGGGTGCATCTGCTTAATGCAAAGCATAGATATCCTGCTTCATCTTTTTTTTTTTTTTTGGTATTTTGAGACAGGGTTTCTCTGTGGCTTTGGAGGCTTTGGAGGCTGTCCTGGAACTTGCTCTGTAGAACAGGCTGGGGGCCAAGCATTTAATTCCAGCACTGAGGGAGGCAGAGGCAGGTGGATCTCTGAGTTCAGGGCCAGCCTGGTCTACAGAGCCAGTTCCAGCTCTGGCGGGCCTGTAACTCACAAAGTAGACCAGGCTGGCCTCAAACTCACAGAGATCTGCCTGCCTCTGCTTCGTAAGTGTTGGCACAAAAGTCATGTGCCATTAAGCCATGTTGGTCATTTTCTTTCTGATGAATTGACTCCTTTATCATTATGTACTATCCCTCTGTCTTTGGTAATATTCTTTCTCTTGAAATCTATTTTATTCATTTTTTATTATAAAAATTCTTAGAAATAAAACACAAAATATATTCAATTTAACATAGTTACTCTTGTTTTCTTTTACCATTACTACTATGCATTTAACTTTCTATTTGTATTTTTTTATTTAAAAATTTTATAGACAGGGGGGGATGGGGGGAGGGCACAGGAGGAGGGGAGGGAAAGGGAGAGGGACCTCGTACTGACTTGTGAAGCAACCTTGTTTCTTATCTAAATTTAAAATGGAAAATAAAAAAAATATTAATATAAAAAAAAAAAATTTTATAGACAGCTGGTGTGGTGGTATGTTTTTTAGTCCCAGCACTTGGGAAAGATGAGGCAGGTGCATCTCTGTGATTTGAGGTCAGCCTGGTCTACATAGTGAGTTCCAGGCCCTCCAAATCTAGACAGTGAGATGCTGCCTCAAAAAAGTATTCTATAGACACAAATATTCTGGGGTTTTAAAAAAAGGAATGTGAATCACATGCACGCATGTGTGTCTGTGTAGGGTGTATGAGCAGTTGCCCACGAAGTCAGAAGAAGGCTTGCAGTTGCAGTGACAGTGATTAGCAGCCTCCTGAAATGGGTGCTGAGAACCCGTCAGGTCCTCTTCCTGAGCAGCTGGCACTCTTCACTACTGAGTCATCTTTCTAGCCCCAGGCATGCTTGCTTTTAAAAGACAGGGCTTTGCTATATAGCCTGGGCTAGCCTGAAACTATATAAGCAGCCTGGCTTTGAACGTGTTCTGCATCCCCAGTGCTAGGATTATAGGCATACTTTACCATGCCCAGCTTGAACATTCTTTTTCAATCATTTCTGAGACTCTGACTTATAGATGGAACATTTATTCCATTCATAGTTAATGAGATGGATGTGGTTGCTTAGCTTGTCAGGGCTCAATAACTCTCAGAATTCTGTTTTTATTTTTTCCCTTTGTTTTGGTCCAGTCCTCACTGGCCTGGAACTTGTAATGGAGACCAGGCTAGCCTTGAACTTCCCTTAGTCCTTTTCCCTCTGCCACCTGAGTAGTTATGCCATCTCATCTAGCTTAGGAATTCAAAATTAAGCCAGGTGGTGGTGGTGCACACCTTTAATGCATCCCAGCACTCGGGAGGCAGAGGCAGGCGAATTTCTTGTGAGTTTGAGGCCAGCCTAGTCTACAGAGCGAGTTCCAGGACAGGCTCCAAAGCTACAGAGAAACCCTGTCTGGAAAAACCAAAAAGGAAAAAATTCAAATTTAGTTTTTTATTGTCAACTTAGCAATGACTCTTTAATTTTTTTTCTGCTAATAAAAAACCAAAAATTTGGGGGCTGGAGAGATGGCTCAGAGGTTAAAAGCACTGACTGCTTTACCAGAGGTCCTGAGTTCAATTCCCAGTTACCACATGGTGGCTCACAACCATCTACAATTCAATCTGGTGCACTCTTCTGGCATGTATATGTAATAAATAAATAAATCTTAAAATGTGTTTCTCACTGTTCTAGAGGCTGGTAATCCAAGAGCAAAAGAGTAGATGAAATGGTGTTTATCAGGCTACTTTGGAGTTTATTGATGGTGTCTTCCCACTGTGTCCTCATGAGGTAGGACTTACATTTTATTTAGGAGTCACTTCACTTTGCAGTCTATTTAAAGCAATGCTACAACAGTTCTCAGGGAACCTAAGAGTCTTAAGCTCACACAGCTCATGTGTACCTTGTGCTCTCTGCCTTACGGTACAAAAGTTCTAATCCTCAGACTTTTATTAAAAAGTAAAACTTCCTAGGTATACCACAATAAAGGATTTTTGGGTCTGTGCACCTGTGCCTCCATGCTAGAGTCCTTGCTTACCACGGGTGAAACTCTAGGTTCCATCCCCAACACTGTAGTAACACAACAAAAAAGAAAAAAACTAAAACATGTCTCTTTGGCAAGTAGATAAAAACACAAAACAAAAACAAGGAATGAAATTCACCTAAGCTCATAATAAGATAATCCTAAAGTAGCAAATACTCTGTGAATACATGCTACTGAAAATGTAATAGTATCAAAGTTAAAAATCAACATTTTCCCTTTTTTTTCATCTTTTTTGATCATTTGGGAATTTCACATCATGCATCCTGATTACAATCATTTCTGAGTCCTCTTATGTCAGCTTCTCAATCCTTGTGACCTTCCATCACCATCCCCCTACCCCCAAAAAAGAAAGTCCACATACTCACTGGAGCAGGTCAAACTCCAGTGGCCATCCCCTGAAGAAAACCGAGTTCTCTCCATCTGTACGCCCCCTAGAAGCCATCAGCTGTGGAGAGCTACACTTAAGCACCCTTACCACACATTTTAGGAGTTCTCTTTGATGACCTCCTTTTTAGGCTGTTACTTTTTTGGGCGTGGGGTGGGGTGGAGGTAAGGATTGTCGCAGAAGCCTTTCCGTTTCTTTCTCAACTGCATCTGCCATCATAGATACCTCTCCCAGAGTAGCTTCCTTGCTCTTTACCGTCAGCGGGAGCATGGGTCCTGGGCAACAGCAGAGACCATAAACATCCACACGGTCTCCAGCATCAGCGTGTGCCAAGGACCTCGGCTTGGTTTCTGGTAGCAGCACAACAGGGCCCTCTGCCAAAGCACAGGCCACAGACCAGCATGGCCTCTGGAAGAAGCACAGACCCAGGGGGTTTGTTGAGACCCAATCCAGCAAATGAACCATCCTTCATCTCGAGCATCCTGTTGTTGCTCAGAGCCAGGGAGACTGTGCAGCCAGGCAGCTTGTTCAGGGGCTGGGTCTATATACCTTCCAGGCTGCTGCTGCAACTCACCCTGTGACCCTACTGGGTAATGGCCTGTTCCTGCATCAACCGCAGCCTTCTCACACCTGTCACAGCTGTCGCAACACGAGTTCCACTGCTCTCTACCACACAGGCATTGCTCTCTCCCTCCATCTTCCCACCTGTCCATCATGTATTTGTTCATCATAGTGGCATTGGAGCTGCAGTGTGTCACACAGTACACTTGGTTGCTCAAACAGCTTTAAATGCATGTTTGTTGCATGGAGTCACTGGTCTGGTCCAAGGTGCTGGTTTCTTTGCAGGGGGGGGGGTTGTTTTGTTTTCTTTTGTTTCCTTTTGGGGGGAGTTTCAAGACAGGGTTTCTCTATGTAGACCCAACTGTCCTGGAACTCACTCTGTAGACCAGGCTGGCCTCTGCCTCCCGAGTACTGGATTTAAAGGGCTGCACCACCACTACGCGGCTGGTCGCTACACGCCATCAATACTGGGCCATCTCTGAGATTGCTCTGTTATCCTGCTGTTGCCCAGATCATGCCGATCCTGTGACTCTGGCCTTCAAATGCTCCAGTAGCTCACAGATGGGTAGATGTTGGGGCGGACTGACTCAAAGAACGGATCTGAGCCTGGATGATCGCTGAATTGATCAGCCCAGGTGGGGCCTAACCTTCCCTCCTGCCAGTTGGTAGCCATATCATAAGGCAAAACTGCATTCAGTCCAACTTCAAAGGTCCCCATAGTCTATCACTCTGTTTAAAAGCCCAAAGTTAAAAGTCTCTTTTGAGATTCATGGAATCACTTAATTGTAAACCCCTGTAAAATCAAAATATAAAGTAGATCACACACTTCCAACATACGACTGGCACAGGATATATATTACCATTCCAAAAGGGTGCATGATGAGGAAATTTTGGATCAAAGCAGGACTGAACCAGCTGGGCAAACTCTGCATCTCCACGTCTGATGTCAAAATGCTCTTCAGATCTCCAGCTCCTTTCAGCTTTGTTGACTGCAATGCACTGTTCTCTTTGGCTGGTTCCACTCCTGGTTAACAGGTATTAGACACCAAGCTGGTAAATATTGGATCCTGTTATTGGGTATCCTCTGCCAATGCAGTAAGTCAAATCAGACCGAATTAATAAATCCAGAGGTACTAAACAGAGCAAAGCAAAGCAGAGCACTTCCAGGAAGGCAGAAGAATCACCAGGCGGGTCTGGTGGCCAGGTCTTAAATAACCCTGTAGAGTGGTCTTGAGCAGCTCCAGGGGAGCTAACCTTGACCTGCTTTCTGAGGTGCAGGGTCTGGAATGGGAGGAGTGGGAGCTGAGACAGAGTTTCCACCTAGACATGTAACCCATGGCTCTGGCATCTCCGACATCTTGGGGCCTCCAAAGCAATCCAGGCTTCACCTTACAGCTTCATCCAGCGGCCTCTCTAGGTGTCCAGGTAGGGACACCCCTGACACATACCTGGCCTCAGCCTCTTCCCTTGGTCTCAGTATTAGACTCCACAGCCCCTTTCTTCTGTCCTTGACTCTAACGCCAGAACCATGTTGTTGAAGATGCCAAGTTCTGCAGCTTGCTGAGGCTGGATCATGGGTCCCTGGTTCAGGTACATTTTCACCAGCCTTTTGTTCTCAATGGTTTCCTTGACTGCCTAGGCTTGGCTGTCCTGACCAAGCTGGCCTCCAATTTAGAGATCTGCCTGCCTCTGCCACTGGAGTGCTGGAATCAAAGGTGTGCACCACCACATTCAACCTTAAACTTTTCTAATTCCTTTTCACAGATTGGAAACTTAGCTGGGTGGGGTCTTGTCCCCCACTCCCTTTATTCCACTTACTATCATATCAGGCTTTCTTTAATCTGTTTATCATCTCCTTGAACACAGGAGTTAGCTCCATCCCATTTCCTGGTGTCCCCTTTCTCATTGAACTGCACATTTTGTTATTTTTCTTGCTTAGCTTGCTCCTTTTTATTATAGATCTTCATAAAAGTGAACACTAATAACCACATGACAAAGTCAATACTAGGCTGTTTTGAGATTTCCTCTGCCAATGCAATTAACCCAAAAGTCTTCACTTTAGCATCAGGCAGACTTCAGACAAGGGCAAAAATCAGCCACATGCTTCAAAATATCACAAGAACAATCTCTAGGCACACAGTAATACTCTTTTCCTCTGCAACTTCTTAGCCAGGCCTTCCTACATCTAGTGAGTTCAAGGCTAGCCTGAGCTACTTGAGATCCTTGCCTCAAAAAATCATAGATTTCAACACCATGGATAGTATATTTATGACTTTTTCTTTCCTTTTACTTCAAAATTACTTGGAAGCAAAAGGACACAGCCAGGCAGTGGTGGTACATGCCTTTAATTCCAGAACCCAGGAGGCAGAGGTAGTACATCTCTGTGACTGTGAGGTCAGTGTAGTCTACAGAGTGATTTCTTTTTTTTTTTTTTTGGTTTTTCCAGACAGGGTTTCTCTGTGGCTTTGGAGGCTGTCCTGGAACTCGCTCTTGTAGACCAGGCTGGTCTCGAACTCATAGAGATCCGCCTGTCTCTGCCTCCCGAGTGCTGGGATTAAAGGCGTGCGCCACCAACGCCCGGCTCAGAGTGATTTCTAACACAGCCAGGGCTACACAGAGAAGCCCTGTCTCAAAAAGCCCTGATCCCCTCCAAAAAGGCCAGATCTCAGTACTCACACATCAGACACCCAGAATGGTGAAAAGTTATGGACATTAATACAGAAGCTACATTAACTATAATGTATATCTGTGTGTACTCAAGGTGTGTGTGTTTGTGTATGTATGTGTGCACGCGCACACACACACACAATGACTGTAGAGGCCCAGAGGTCAATATCTAGGAGTGTTCAACTGCTTTCCTGCCTTAGGTTTTGAGGCAAATGGTCTAAACCTTTTCACATTTACAAAGCATTTCCAAGACTGACTGGCTGCACAATACCAGGTTTGATTCCCAGTGCTGTGAAGCACTAGCGTTGCTACATTTGATACTCAGATGCCAGATATGGTAGATAGTATCTTTCCCTACAATATGACTCAAGAGACCTGAAACTCACCAGGTGTGATGTTGCATCTTTAGTCCCATCACCCAAGAAGCAGAGACAGGCACATCTCTTGAGTTTGAGGCCAGCATGGTCTACACAGTGAATTCTAGGCTGGCCAGGGTGACATAGGGATACACTATCTCAAGCAAACAATGCACAATTAAAAACCTTAAACCTGTGCAATCTGAAAAGCAACAGCTGCATTCAAAGGTCCTCAGTCTCTACAGGGTCTTATTTCATAGTTTTGGGCTGAGCTAGCTATGTTACACAGGCTGGCCTTAACTTGCACTGACCCTCCTGTCTCAATCTCTTGAATGCTGGGATTATAGGTTTGCACCCTGACACTAGCCTTTTAGTAGCTTTTATATTCAAAATGAATGTTCATGTCATTTTGTATATTTTAACTACTACTAAATTTGAAAATAAAGATAGGGCTAAGAATAGAAGTCCGTCCCCCTCCCCATGTATTTATAAAACCCATCTATTTTTCTGTGTGTGTAAGTATATGACCATCAGAGGACACTTTTTGGGAGTTGATTCTCCTACCATGTGAACTCAGGATCAAACTCTGGATGTCAGATTCCATGGCAAGACCTTTACCCACTGAACCATTTAGCCAGTCCTAAGGATTTTTGTTGTAGTTTGTTTTCCATAGCCTAGGTTAGCCTCAAGTTTACTGCAATCCTCCTGCTTCGGCCACTGAGTGCTGAGATTAGGCATGTGCCACATTTGGATTAAATCTCTTTATAAGAGGAAGTCTCTCAACTATTTACTCACCAGTTGAGATATTCCTTAATGAGAAACCACGTTAAAAAGATCTCATGAGCTAAAGAGATGGCCCAGCAATTTAGAGCACTTGTTCTTTCAGAAGACATGAGACCCAGCACCTACACGGCAGCTAACAACATCTGTAGCTTCCGTTCTACAGGACGGTTGCCTTCTAACCTCTGCAGACCCCAGGCACTCACATCACACACAGACATACACTCAGGCAAAACACCCATACACATAACATAAAAGATACAAATAAACCTTTTTTTAAATCCCATGAATTAGCTTCAACAAAGGACCTGTATCAGAGAACCGCAAGCCTCACAGGGTTTGTAATCTGATAAAAAGACATATTAAATATATATTGCTAGCCACACTATTTTAGTGATGGAAAACAACAGCTGAAAACCAGTTTAGGACAAATGCCAACTGTTCTATTTGTCTGGAAATACTATAATTGCTGTAATACTCAGAGATAGTTTTTTTTTTTTTAATGTCATGTAGCCCAGGCTGGCTTGGAATCCACTATGCAGCTGAAAATGACCTTGAAGTGCTGATCCTGTTTCTAAAACCTCGAGTCCTAGGATTTCAGATGTGTCATCAAGCTTAATTTTGAAAATGGAATTTCTAAAACCTTATCTATTATTATTATGTCTCTGTGTGCATGAGTATGTCTTCAAGTATGGAGGTCAGAGGACAACTCTGCAGGCCAAGTTCTCCTATACCTTTAACTGGGAATTGAGCTCAGGCTGCCAGGCTTCCATGACTAGCGGTGTTTCCTGTTAAACCATCTCTCTAGTTTGAAAGCAGGATTTCTAAATGAAAACTTATTAACTAAAACCTGAGAAGTCCTGTAGATAGCGTTGCCTCTTGAACCTACATTCTTAGTTTTCCAACTTTCAATGTTTTAAAACAGAAGTAAACACATCTCAACAGCCTTAAATATTTTCATGTATTTTATTTTTTAAAACACTTATAATTTTGCAAGCTAGCAGTAAAATATTACCTTCAATATTTTACTAATTAGCACCATTTAAAGCTAACTGGAACATTGTTTCACTGTAAATGATTGTAAAATACGATGTCAAATTATTCTCAACATAAGATTATTAATTAAATTGAATCATTAATTTTTGGCTCTGAGCACATATGTGCACTTTAAAGATGAATTTAACTACGTTAATATATTTGCCAATCTAAAAAAGTCAAAGTATCATAGTTTAAAGCAGTATTTAATTCCTGAAATTATCCTAATAAAACATATCAGGAAATAGAGAAATCAGCTATAAAAAGAAAAGATCATTCTTTTCCTTAATTTTTGGAAGAATAAAATAACTTGGTGAAAAAGTCCTTTGGTGCAAAGATCAGTTAAACATATTGTTTAGTACACATTACCATTTTCATGCTTTGCTTATGAGCAGCCTTACCAAAAAGCCATGGAAAGGTCTGGAACAACTCACAGGGACAGCTGAATGCTGAAATAAAATTGCTTAGTGCTAAAAAGATACCAATTACTCGTAGAGTTTTAAATGGAAGCCTAGACATTTAACACCTATGTTTTAATGTTCTCATCTGAAAAAAAAATCTTTCAAAAGTAGAAAAAAATCCAATCATACTCAAATTACTTCCCTACACTTAAAAAAGGATATTTTCATTTCCTATATTCTGATAAGAGCGTTAAAGTTCAGAGTCACAACCGACTGCTCACTAGCACGCCTGTCTTGCATTCCGGTAGAATCAAATCCAGCCCTGCCATCTGTGGATGACTATGACAAGATACAAAAGCATGTGTTTGCCATAAATAGCTCTGGCTAATAGCAAAGTGTGCACACTGAGCAGATCAAATTCTCTATAAGGAGAGCACTCTGGACCACAGCCAAATCCCATTGCTCATGTTTAAGACTGCTATACCAACTTTTTTCCAATTCAATTTGGAAAAGATATTAAGGAATCATAGCTGAAATAAACATTCCTAAACATCAGAATCATTATTAAACCTTTGGATGACATTTCACAACTTATTTTCATTATGATCAAGTAATAAAAACATCCTACTTCTACTTCTCAAAAAATACCTAGTAATGTAACTGTGAATTAATATCCTAATTTATCTAGAGAACAAATAAGATACTGGAGTATGCAAAAGTGCAGAAAAAACCTATTATCTCCATAACATAAAGAAATAAATAAACATATTTATAAAAGTACTACCCTTTTAATGACTGTATATGAGTGATTTTAAGATATTTTAAACCAAAGAAATTCAACAATCTGGAGATACATGAGTGTTATAGTAAAGAAAAGAAAATCTCAATACCAGTGTAGAGCTTAATCGATGTTTACCCTAAAATTTCACATGACAATTTGCAAAATTTCCAAGGAAAACAAGGCAACGTTCTGTAATATGCCACAATTTTTATTGCAACGTGGCCACTTTTGTGAGGGTAGGGAATTTGATCTCAAAACAATGTTCCATTTAAGGCTCTTTTATACAGAAACTGCCATCATGACTGATATTCAAAATATCTGTAGTGTTTCAAGACTCATACGGTAAACATAAAACTCCTACATTTATTCAGTAGTGTATACTCAAATGGGAAACCAAAGATGTCAATACAGCTATTGAAAAAGATATTCAGGTAAGAGGAATGAACACTGAGGTACTAGATAAATCAATGACAATGAAACTTAATTGGCATTCTTTTTGAGGGATTAAACGCATTTAAAAAAAGTGCTTTTAACGCATAGTGTTAAATCTGTGCTGCCATGTCACAAAAACAGGCTTGCCAAGGCAGGTGAGGTGTAAACCAACGCTCCAGCGCCTCAGAACTGTAGTCAAGTGCAACTATAAATAATACTGAAAACAAGTTTACCATATGACCAGTGGATAATACTTT